CGTTGCCGTGGATTCGAGCCTGCGATCCCCAGTCAGGTGTCGCCAACCCTCGATCCTGCCTGCCTTCGCCAGCGCGACAGATGCAACCCCGCCGCCCATCCTCGCCATTGTCATGATGAAATTCCATTATTGCGTGCCAGCCACCGAGGAAATTGCTAATGTCCAACTGCTGATGGGTATTGCTAATTGCTGGGCGCAGTCCAACCACACAAGAACAGTGTGTCCATTGTTTGCCCCAGGCTTCGATCCTCGCCATCAGGGAGCCAATGTACGCGCTGCAGACGGACTGAACGCGCTCTGTTGGGGAGGGTGGGCGAAACAAAGTCCCGCTGCTGTGTCCTACGTGCTGTGTACTATGTACCACTATGTACTGACTGGTTTTGCCCGAGGGCGTGGCCGTGAATGGCATGCCATGAAAATAGCACGTGCTTCAAGGTGCGCGGATGAATTGCCGAACTGAGGGCGGCTGCAATCGTCTTGCAGGTGCAAGGGCTGCGTTTTTTCATTTTAAGACAATTTCAACTTTTTAGCTGTTTCAGCTAATAAACCATTGCATATTTTCATTTTTGCGGTGTTTTGCAATCAACGGATTTGTGAAAAGACGCACTTTCCTGTCGGAATGCCAGCTGTGGCGTCCGGCAAAGCATCCAGCTGTGCAAAGCCGAGCGCGACGTTGAATCACGGTAGTCTTGACTTTTTCGTTTGTGTTCTTAATGCGCAAATAAGATGTTAAAGGGGCAGTTTTACAGCTATTTTTACGTTTTTACAGCTTGCTGGGACAGCTAGGTCATACGATAAAAGCCGTGTACAATTACCAGTCCTCAGCCATCTACAGCACCCGCAACACAGTCCACCTCGCTCTCGGCAAGGGCAAGGACGGCAAGGATCGGAAATTCGTTTTCTACCCATTCCGGCGCGTCTGACTGCCACTCCCCGGACTTCCCAAGCCTCAATGTATTGTTCTTATGTACACTAGCTGTATTTACGTTGAGTTACGTATATTTATGCGTCTTTATGCCTAAAAACGTAGAAACTATTTGTACGCGTCACAACGTAAAACGATCAGTTTTTGCAGCATAATAATCAAGCCTGAATCGCGTAATGCGTCCCTGTGGCAGCACTGTGTTCGTGTGCTCTACCAGACCTGCAATTGCAAGTGTATTCCCACCTTCCCTATGTTTCAGACCGGCAATGCACGCACCGCAAGCGCCCACATAAGTGCGCTGCATTGACTGAAAAGCGGGCCACGAGAAGCGGGGCGGGAGAATGAATGCCAGAAGGGCAAGCGCCCCCATATCTGCAGCCCGCCATGACGCATTGCGGCATCCCATTTCATAATTTGTTCAGTGCCCTCGGGATCAGTTGCTCGTGATGCTGCGGGCGTGCGCCCCCAGACCACCACCTTCACCCGCAGTTCAAGTTACCGCCCTGAGGCCAAAGACGAATCCAGCCCTGCTGTGTGACTACACGCTCCTTATGTTTTGGGTGCCCACAGACCGGAGTTTGAACAACACTGCGACGCAATTGCGCACCCATACGTCAAGGCGCTAATTGGAGTGACCGCCAATGTGCTGCAGGCGTCCCTGCCACCAAGGAAAAGGAGGGTTGCCTTCACACCTGCGGTGCCTGTGCCTCAGCTGCCTGTTGCGGAGGTACGACCCGACGCATACTCTGCTGCCGAGGCACTTTAGACGCAGTTTCTGGCCGACCACCAGGGCAAGTGCACGTGCATATTATATGTTGATAATTTTATGAAAAGGAAAACCTATTCGCTTCATGGGATTGTGCAAGATGGGCCATCGGCACACCCGCGCGGCAAGAAGTGGCACTTGCGTTGTGGGTGGCCAATTACAGCTTCCTCTTCGGGGTTACTGCAACATCACCCAATGGTTTGTACAATTTCTGCGCGCTACGCGTCTTCTTTCCCTACTTTATTCTCCTTTTGACGTGCGCCGATGACCCGCATGGAAAATAGACGATGCCCCATTCCCTGGGCCATTGTCAGGCGATCACTTTCAATGAACCGTATGACTACTGTATAACTCCATATGACCACTAGCCATTATTTTGCCTAAGTTTCTAATTCCTCGCCCACGCCGCCACCAAACGCGCGCTTGAAACGCCCTGATCCAGGCTTATCATTTGTGGCGTGGACGCAGCCTGCGTTTATGCATTTGCGCGCTTTTGAACTAAAATATACAATACATGCTGCGCTGCGCGGTAAATTTTTTAAATAAACACTTGCCTCGGAAAAGGGGTACTAGGCAGTACAGCCAGTGTTAAATCACTTTCTATTTCCACCCAATATTGCTGATAAACATCTTATGTTAACATTATTGTTCATGATGTTCACATTGTCAAAAAATTTTACTTCTATTTAGTAACAAGATTGCCCTGTGCTGAGTGCTCCCAGCGTGCCCGCAAGGGAGGGGTGCGACCTGCGACCTGCTGCGCGCGTTCCGCAAGTCCAACGGGCGCCGCGGACTGCCGGACGTGGTCCTCATCGAGCCGCCTTGCCTGGTGGCGTCGAGGGCCTGCAGGTTGGACATCCACCTGTCACATGAGGTGAGCGTGCGAGACCTGACCGCTGCGAGGGCCGGCCAGTCTGTGGATGTGCCCTCTGTGGAGGCGGGCACTACGAGGACAGTAAGGTGGGGCGCGCGTCATGTTTGACTATACAGCACTAAATCTGTAAGTACATGTGGCATACATAACTAACGTGTACGATTATATAAACGACATATACGAATGACATATAATCCCTCTGTACAAGATTAATTGTCACTTATTTGAAATACAACATTCGTTACAAGGACGGCCTCAAAATTTCAACACAAGTTTCAAATCGGAAAGATTGGGCTCCCAAACCCTTAAGAGCATCTCTATCGTCCCTTACTATTGCACTGGCTGAGCTATCCAGAACGGTTCTCATCGGCTGCCGTGCCATTTTACTAAGGCGGCATTTGCCGAATAGCACCGGTGCTATTGCCTCCTTGCGTGCATCCGTGGCGGTGGGCTGTTATCCCTGTGCCGGATGGCATCATGGCACCGCTACAACGTCCTACGCGAATAGCGCCGGGTGCTGTTCCGGGGTGCTATTTGGCCTCGAGCGGTGCTCTCCGGCCCAGAATAGCAGCGCTCGGCACCGAGTGGCATTGGTGGTGCGATTGGTGTGCTATTGCTCCCCAATCGTTAACGATGTCTTTTTTGACGTGCGGTGCTATTCGGATAGCCGAATAGCACCGCCGGGACAAGAGCACCCGCCGATAAAGATGCTCTAACCAACAACTTTGAAGAAGATAAAAGGAGACGCAACCTCTTTGAGACTTACGCAAAAGGCAAATAATGGCCATTTTTGAGCCCAAATGTTGAGTTTATTGGGCAACAGCACACCCGATACAAAGTATTACCAAATCTTCAATACCGAATAGATTGATTTGAAATTTTGATAGTGTGCTCCAAAAATGCAGGTACAAATTTGGATAAAATTTTCATTTTAAACTGATCTAGGTACGATGGAGAAGTAATGCCCCAAAATCACAGAAGACAATGAATCTTGGACGGAGGAAGTATGATGTAATATGGTCATATAATCATATAATATACGATTAATAGAACCAACATATATTACTATATGACGCTATGTAGAGCTCCGTAGCCAAGTATATGTGTAGCAAACTTGTACTACAAGTTTATTATTCTGCTACTAGCAGAATAATGATGTGTAGGTGCATGATTATCGCAAAAGCCCTTTCAGGAGTGATTCAGGAAGTGCTGTAAAGCGCTGAGTGTTGCACCCCGTTTTGGTACAAGAAGGTCCACATGGTCGTTTACTACACATGAAGCGTCATTGCTGGCACGTGGCATCAAAAATGTGCCAACGGAAATGCTGGGTAGCGATGTCTCTTCAGACGATCACTTGATGTCTTCGCCACTCATTGCCACCAATGTAGGGAATGCAGCAATGGCCTATGTGACTTGAATTGGCGAAAAAATTTTGTTGGCAGTTTTGCTACATGTAGTAAGATATGTTTCACACTCTGGCCTACATCTTGTAGTAAATTTTCAAGTATCTTGAATGCGGACTTGGTTTTTATCCAATTCAGCCAGACTGCACAGCATAGTGTCTAAGAGCGAACGGAACATGAAAACAGCAGAAATGAACAAGCAACGGGGAAGCGAAGAAGGGGAAGGCAAACAAGGGCCGGGGGGGCAGAGGTGTGATCTGCTTAGGCATTGCATTTCGGTTGATGGATCCTCATGCTGATCGAATAAATCGCTCTGCATGCGGCGCAGTATATCCATTCCCCCCACGGATAATTATAGGGTGTGCTTGGCCCTGACCACCGCCGAGGACGGAGGCCGCGAGTCATGCATAGTCATTCTGGCGCTGCCCAGGAAGGCGGCACGTGAGGTTCGAAGCCTCTTCACGAGAATTACGAATGAATTACGTAACCCATCTGTGGGCCCTGCTTCCCAAGTGCTGTATCGGCAAGCTAGCCAGGTGGGGTATCCCCTAGCCCCTGCTCGCTTCGTCTGGATGACTTTGCATCGCCTGCACCGTTAGATGAACAAGCCAAAAATGAATGGGAATTTCCAAATGTGGATTGTTGGTTGCATTGTGCACCTTCAATCGATCAATGGAAACTGTTGATAAACCACTGCATTTGAATGAACGCATGATGCGTTTGGCTTGCCTAAAGTGCGTTGTGAGTAGGTGTGCATTAAAGCCTTTCAAGGAATTGAATAAGCGATTCAAGTCAACCAGCAACCGAAACACCTGCTGGCTTACTCGGTCCAATTCTAGTAGATCGAGCCTTACTGTCAGTGCCATCCAATAGCCTTGCTCTTTTCCTCTGCAGCCGCCGCGAGTGGTTGACATACAGAGCAGCAGTCCGGACGAATTGGAGCTGAAGAAGGCCGCGTGGACGCGCCATTTTGGCCCCCTCTCTTCCGACTTTTCCGATGTTTTGGAAGGCCTTTTCTCCGGCAGCGGCCTCATGGAAGGCAGCCGAGCCCCACTGGCCAGGTGCCCACACCTCCGGCGAAAGGCGACAGCAAAAATCTAAAAAGAAACGCACCGTCTTGCAGCAGTGCAACGTCTCTGGTGCGCGAATTATGGAAACGCCGCAACAATCTAAAAGGTGCTACCAAGAGAATCCCAAGATTTCGTGCCACCGTAGCGCTGTTGTTGTGCGAATTTCATGAAATTGAAATCCCGTAAAGTATGCAAAAGTCATGTAAGAAAATGCAAGGTTTAGCACAATGCCATGATGTCGGTGCGCGATTTTTCGGTGGAGGGTCACCGCTGACTGAACGTTGGAGATGACTGCGCGGAATGGGTCAGCTTATCTGCACATTTGAATGGCGGAGCGCTTGCCGTTGCCTGGATCTGAAGTGAATGCAAGGCTGAAGTTGTTGAATTCTGCTACACACCGCATTGTTGAAGCGATGATCATGGCCCTCACGTACAACCCTTGACGCGGTAAAATAAATCAGCAATTTTCTGTGCGCATCCTTGTCCGTACATGCTGATGTAACGCAGAAATCGTACATCCATCTTCAAACCTCGAGGGGGCCGCACAGGAGCCCGGGATCACATTCCAACGCGTTAAGACTTCAGCTTCTCACAATCGAGTAATTTGTATTCAACACCCTTACCAGTGGTGCTGCGGGCCAGGTTGAATGCCGCTATGTTTCTTGCCTGCAATTTGGCAATGCTGATGGAGCAGCGAAGTCCAGGCAAGCTTTTCCAAAATGATTCGAATTCTGCTGACCTTGGAGGACAAAAAGCAATCCCAAATTTGTAGGTACCTCATAGCCAACGAGCTGTGGTACACCGCGTCCTTCCTGCTGACCACGTGCCTGAGGTGCGGCGTGCCCGTGACCTTGGGGCCCTTTGCCCTTTCGGAAGAAAATTTGAAGGCCGAGAACCTGAGGACGGACTTCTTCGTGATGGGAAGCGAGAATGCGGGGCTGGCAGTGGGATAGGAGCTGCACGAGGGCGCGTCCCTGGAAATCGAGAGATGTAGGCGATGCTGAAGGGAGGTTGAAACGAAGCTTTGGTAGAAGTAGGAACGAAACTGGATCGCAGCCGTGGCTGCGCCGCGCTGAAACGGCAGTCGGCTAGGTATGGGGAGTCTTGGAGCGCACTACTACATCAAGCTGAATTAGGTGAAGCGAATACGATGCTTTTGGATACGGTGTTTTTAGTTACGACGTTCCTGCATACGGTGTTCCCAGCATTTGTCACAAGGTCCCCCCTTTGAGGTTGCAACTGTTTTGAGGGGGTTCACTTTGCATAAAAGGCTTAAGGCACACAGGATTCAGGAGCAAGGGTTTGGGGATTTTTGGAGGCCTTTGTCCACCCTGACCGCGCCTTGGTGAAAAAGCGCTGAGGCAGTTGATGCTGCACGTGACGCCCGAAGGAAGGACCTTCCCTTTTCTGGAAGAAAGTAGCGTGGAGCTCAGCACTTTGCAGTGATTGCTTGCACACCTATTTCCTGAAAGTATGTCACCCTGGGGCGAGTGCGCACCTGAGAAGTAGATCGCTTATTGGCGGCTGTTGGGGTCGGCGTGCCCGGGTGTCTGCATATAGGGCTTAGCGATAGAACGATGGAATTATAAAGTGTGACGGGCCACCGTTTTGCGGCCGACTCCTCTGAGGTCGCCTGCAGCGGCCCGCGCGGAACGATTCCGGTTTGCAGTCATGCGGTGGATCTAGCAAAGTGTCTCGTATTTGATTTGTAAGTGCAGATATTTTGTTGACCTGCGCTGGAGCTGGGTCATGTTTCCAGAGGCAGCTTCCGGCGCACTGGCGCCAGGACTTCGCTAGGCGAGAATAAAAAGAAGGCTGCGCTGTGGACGGTGGACCTGCGGTGGGGACGCTATCCCGGATGGACAAGGCGATGTGGGCAAAGCCGGGCTCTGGGCCTTGGCACCCTTGAATAAGCGACACTCCTCCCTCTGAAATCACAGCCAACCGAAAAGCTTCCTTGGCGGCGCTTGTGGCGGTGGAGCTGTCCGACAGCTGGGCGCAAACAGGGCGCAATGGCGCTTGGTGGCTGGGCCGGCAATCCGATGATTTCAGAGTGTGCGCTCGGGGCCGGCGCATCTAGCGGATTGGGATTTCTGCTGGTTGGCATTCGGTAGCGCGGAGGCTGTGACGCCTCTGTGAGTTTGATCGATAGAATGGAGCTGTGCTTCGAGACGCCGCTGGCGTCCCAAATTTAGCGCTGCAGGCACAAATAGGGAATGCGCGAAAGGGGGATTGGCTAATTGGAGGTGGTGCCAGATATGCTTCTATTGGAATAAAAGGAAACTGGGCGGATGGTTATGGAGGGCTGATTCAGGATAGTTTGGGGCATCATCTGGAGGATTCTGGTTTCCAAATAGTTTGAATGCAATGCTTTGGATATTATGCTATCTTAGCAGCGCTAAAGCCTCGAGCGCTTGATCGTTGCTAGATCACATATACGCACAAGCCAGCCACCTAGTTGACGTGAATGCTGGCTAGTTCAAGTGAATTCGGCAGTGCGGATTAGAGACTCGGGGGCGCACGTGTTGTCTTTGGTTGCGCAATGTCATCTGCCTTTCCTTTATTTCTGGGAATCATTTTCCGTACATATGATCCAGTGCGGCATCTTCCCTGTGTCAGTAAGCTTGGTAACTACTCGGTGTGGAGGCAGGGCCTTGTCGCATTTCGGTGGATGCAATTGATAACAAGTTGAGCCTTCAGACGGAGGTTTGTCCAATATCAATCACTTCTGGACCGCCTCCTGACCTTGACGAGCTTCGTGTTCTGAAGGGAGGCAACGCGCATTTGTAGTTAGATGTGGCGGATGTACACACTTGCCAAGTTTCCGTCACTTCGCTGCGCTCCATAGTGGCTACCCTATCGCAGGGTGCATTGCACACGGATGGTGGCTATGTGCTTGCTTCCGTACGCCCCATTCGCTGCATGGTGTGGCGTAATACGCGACTGTAGTTTGCAGGGAAATTAGTAAAAGACACATAAATGCACGAATTTACAAGTTATGGTGAAGGTAACGCGCAAATACGGGCCCCAGTATCTCCTACAGCAAGCTTCATGACTGAGGATACGGTAGAATATGGGAGGCTGCCCCAATGGCGTTAATTGATGCGCTTTAAGGCCTTCCTTGAAGATTGAGAGCTAGGGGGAGGCTTAGGAACAAGTCAAGAGTTGTTGGCAGCTGATCGATGGCGCTTTGGGCGTACATTTTCTCCTTGTGGCGTTTTTGTGGCAATTGCGTAATCCCTTAGTCCTACGCACACACCCACCAACTCCCACCCCACCCCACCCACCCACACCGAGGGTGCACCCAGCCCCGCGAACCCCACCACAACCCCGCCCTTGGCGTCAAATCGACGTGAAGCGTAACCAAATCGACATTGTGCACTACCACAAACCTGTGCGGGCTTTCAATCCTTGGCACGTCTGCCAGGTATACGTTGGCCTGCTTCTTGGCCTTTAACTACAAACTCACATGGTCCTCGTGGGCACCCTGGTTCTCTACTCAACTCTAGTCTTTTCCTCATGGGCTCTGTGTACATTCGAGTTGCATCTTTGGTGCGGATCGAGCCGCTCAAGGATGCTTCTGTCCTCCAGTGACAGCTCAGCTCGATCCACCTAATTTGAAGGGACAACTTCGCCACCCCCTCCCCCCACCCCACCCCAAGGTCGGAGACTGGCATCTCGCTGCAAACCTAAGTGTATTTCAGCACCCTTGACATATCAGAAGAACGGCAGCGCCGTTCTCTGCTCATGATCTAAGAGTAGATCTCGACATAGCGCAGCGGATCTTTTCGCTTAATTTTTCTTACGTGCAAGATTTGTCCTGCACTCCTGCAAATTTGAGATTGGACACAAAATTTGGAACAGAGGAAGTATGTTGACGTATTTGTTGTGGAAGCCCACTCGCTTGACTGATGCGCTGGATTTGGCCTGCCTTGGGGTAGGTGCCAGATGTACTAGAAACTGCTTCAAGTCCTATTGGGCAAAGCTTTTCGCCATTGGCGAAAGGTGGCTGTCCAGAGGTCGTTCATGCTTATTTCATTAAAAGGCGCTTATTGCGTAAAGTGTATCTCCGTGAATGAGAAATTTGAATCACCCGCCAAGGGTAGGGGTGGAGGGAGCAAACATAATGAGGGACTGCAGTTGGACTTTCCTTAAATGGTGAGATTTCCCTCTGACCTTATACATGCTCGCCAAGGCTGCCCATATGAATCCAAGCATTGGCTCTGCTCAAAGGCTAGCCAAAGCACACGGATTCCGTGCATGAAAGCAGCCTCTGCGTCAAAAGTTCCAAAACAGTCTGGGGGCCAACTTCCAATATCAAAAAGTGGATCTATCGCTACACAGGACGCCTAGCGCACTGCCAGCACCAACGACGTGGCTCTAATAGGAATTTTTTGTTTCAGTTTACTTTATTTCACTTTTCCTTTAAGTTTTCATATTTGGCTTTAACGTGCATTAACCCCATGTGTGGGAGTACTTTATGCTGCCATTCTGCATGTCTTCAACATATTCCAAGGGCAGCCTGCATCTGATTGGAAGTCGACTTCGTCACAGAAGGTGTCTTTTTGCCACAACCGATGACAATGAGCAATCCTTGGACTGGAAAAAGCTAAGGAGCGCAGTTGGTGCGCCAATATGCGGCGGCCGCCAAATTGGGAAAGTAATTGCCTGGCTTTGCTTCATTGTTGCAGCGCCAGTCTTATCAGCATTTTTTTTAAGCCCAGTGCACGCTGAGCACCAAGAAAAGAATCGGCAGGGTAATTGAATCTACGATTGTCTATCGATGGTGGCGAAGGCAGGCAGGGTCGGGGGACCATAGGCTCGAGTCCACAGCAACAGTTTACGGCCGAGCAAATGGGCAACAGGAGTTCTGTCCTTCATATCCATTCCGTTCATCAATGCCCTTAATGTAATTCCTAATTCCTCATCACTTCTTCATACGTCCAGCTGCTATCAATACTCAGTCAGTTCTAGTTACAACAGCACCTAGAAAAGAAAATCGGTGGGGCAACTGGATCCGTGATGGCCTATTGATGGCATGTTGTGCCTGCGGGCCGCCCCGCCCCAGCCCGCCGCCCAAACGCGAGAGCCTGTCAACGCGCCTGACGGGCCGCTTCACCGCTTCACGTTGCCGCGTGTTTGATTGGTGCGCGCCTTTTCCTCACCTCTCGGCCTCCAGGCGTTCTGCCTCCGCGTCCGCAGGACGCCTCGGCTGGGCTTCCCATCGGCAACGCCAGCCGTCCACGGCGTGGGAATGGCGCCCCCCGGGCCAGCACGATGAAGTGGTAAGGTCTTCCGGCGCCTCGTGACGCGCCGAGCCCCAAGGGGAGTGGCGAGATTTCGTGGGTCCTCTCGTGAGAGAGGTCGCAGAGGGAGGGGCCAGAGCGCCGGGGGCGCACTTCCCTCGAGACGTTGTGATCGTCTGCAGGCTCAGGAGGCGCTGCAGACGGACAGGCGGACGGATGGAATCAACAGGCGGGGGATGGAAAGCCGTGCTTGGATGCACACACGCCCCTCATCGCCACAAAGGGCACCGAACTGTTTCAGAGGCAGTTTTGAGCAGAGTAACTTGGAGGCTCAAAGGTGTGGTGCTCGTGGCCAATGGCTCCTGTGTGCCCCCTGTGAACTTCGAATCGACTTTGGGCAAAGAAAGTTGGAGGCACCGGGAAGTGCGGCGTTTTCGCGTCATGGTTCAGAGCCCGCCCCGTGAACTTCAAATCGAACCGAGAGGGTGCGCACGGCGTCGGCTGCAAAGGAGGCCGCCTCGAGCGAGCCGAGTCGGGGTGCGCCTGGGCTAAGAGTCACGGTCGAATCGGTCGTGGTTGAAAAAGTCTTAGTCAAAACTTTCCGAAGGGGACGCACACAAGCGGAAGGGCCAGAAAGTCATGGTCAAAGCGTCCCAGGAAATGCGCACAAAAAGCGGGGAGGTACGCAGCAGCGGGGAGCATGGCCC